CTTGTTTTTTTTTGAAAAAAAAAAAAGGTTAAAAAGGAAAAATAACCAAAAAAAAAAAAAAGGGAAAACAAAAATTTTTTTCTTTTTGAGAGATAGAGAGACAGAAAGTGAGAAATCACCCCCCAGGGGGGGTGGTCACGCCACAATCCCTTCTCCATTCTCCTCTTGGGATTTTGCCTATGCATGTGTGCCCGGTGTGAGTTTTGAGCAGCCGTGTCTGGGACTTGAACCACAAAATCTCCTATGTGGGATCCAGTGCCCTTAACTTCCATGCAATGTGCTGATCCTGGCCCCCAGCATTTCTTTTCTTTTCTTTCTTTTTTTTTTTTTTTGTTTGAGAGGTTTTTGCTATAGGGCACGTGCACTTGCCAGAAAGACAGAGAGAGACAGAGAGACAGAAAGCGAGAAATCACTGCCCGGGGAGATGGCCACGCCACAATCCCTTCTCCTCCATTCTCCTCTCAGGATCTTGGGCACACATGCACACGTGCCCGGTGTGAGTTTAAGCCGCCAGGACTCGAACCACAGTCGACTACGTGGTAGTCCAGCCACCTGCTGGTCCCAGGCCCCCAGCACTTCTGAGGTCAACGTGGAGATAGCGGTCCCTTCTTCCTTCGATGTTTGTGAGATTCAGTGGACACGTGAACAGAGAGGGCCACTCAGCCAGGGACGGCGTGTAATATTTACTAACCAGCAGGCCAGGGGACCACTCAGTCAGGAATGAGCGCCAGCCCCAGGAGACCCACGTGATGCTTGGCACTGTCTCTCCGGCCCCAGCCTCCTGGGGGGTCCTTGGGGAAGGGGGGGTAGCCGCTGGTGCCCAGTATCAGGACAGGAACCACAGGCCCCACTAATTAGTCTTAGTCCTGTTCTCCATGACTGCGAGTCTTGTGAGAACCCCCGAACGTCCCAGGTCTCTGCAGGACTGCTCCCGTCTCCCCACAAAGGGACCTAGGACGAGGACCCTGCTTGGATGGCCCTCGTCCTGAGCGAGGGACGCTGACGGCCTCCGTTTGTGCACAGTTCACTCTGGCCACGGAATGCTTTCAGCTGGGCTACTCGACCGATGGCCACTGCAAGGGACGCCCCGAGCCCACGCTGCCCCAGCCCCAGCGGCTGCAGTGGGACCTGCCGGACCAGGTAGGCTGGGACTCTGAGCCTTTCCTCTGAGTTCCCGAGTTCCTAGCTTTGACTCTGAAGTCATCCCCAATGCCAGCCTCAACCTCAAAATCAATGCCATCCCCGACCGTAACCCCAAGCTCACATCCTTCGCTCCCAAGTCAAACCAAACACACCCAAACCTCCCACCCCAGCCCTAATCCCGAGCTGACCTCCGCCCCAACCCCATCCTCAACCCTGACTCGGCCCATGTCGCTGCCGTCCTGTTCTTGGTCCCAGCCCAACTCCATCCCCAACCTCGAATTCAAACCCAACCCTGGTCCTGTCCTGTCACCAACCCAACACCATGCCCCTCCAAACTCACCTCCCTGCCCAGCCCCAACACCATCCCACCCCAATTTCTCCTCCAGCCCTCCCCATCCCAGCCCTACTCCTGTCTTACTCGCCCACAGCCCCAGCCACACCGCACGCCGTCTCCAGCTTCAGCTCAGCCCGTGCCCAGCCCTGTTCCCGGCCCCAGTCCCAAGCCCCTCTCCACCCCACCTACTCTGATCTTCCCCATAGTTAACCGGCTCCGCTTCCGCTCCTTCTTTGTCCGCATTTCCATTTCCCATCAGCCCTGATCCCATTCTGTCTTCACTTCTAGCCCCATCCCCAGCTCTAGCCCCGCCAGCTCTAGCCCCGCCCCATCCATAGCTTCCCTCCGGTTCTCTGGCAGATCCATCCATCCATCACTCTAGCCCTAAGAGGAGCCAAGATCTTGTCTGAAAACATCGACTGCCACGTCTTCCCCTTCTCCCACTTCGGCAAGAGCTTCATCAGACGTTGCCACCTCTCTTCAGACAGCTTTGTCCAGACGGCCTTGCAGCTGGCCTACTTTCGGGTCAGTTGGATTCCCCAGTCCCAGGCCCCTGAGGACCCCAGTTGTCCTGAGCCCACATGATCTGCACCCTGGATAACTCCTCTTGGCGCGCCATCTTGATTTCTCTCTCAACCATACGTTCCTGGGCGGGCGGAGGCTGGAGAGCTGGACAGAGGAGGGCCAAATCTGTGGAGACTGCCTGAGTCCAGCCGACAGGCTCCTCTCCTCCTTGTCCCCTAGGACAGGGGTCAGTTCTGCCTGACTTACGAGTCGGCCATGACTCGCTTGTTCCTGGAAGGCCGGACAGAGACGGTGCGGTCTTGCACGAGGGAGGCCTGCGACTTTGTGAGAGCCATGGAGGACCAAGAGAAGACAGTGGGTGTAGGCCTCGTTTGAGGCATCGGTCGTGTCCAAGTACTCACGCGTTCACACACATTTCAGGGCACCTGCCGAGGCCGGGTTCCATGATGGGCAAGCAACGAACCAGACCTGGTCTCTGACTTCAGAGAGCTTGCTGGTGGGGGAGACAGAGATAGTCCAGAATAACGTGATATATACTTTAATGGGAGCCACACGGGCACTGGGGAGGCCCTTGAGGGGAGCATGTTCCCACAGTGCAACTCTGCACGTGTAACCTCTGTGTGGCTTGGGGACCGCCATTTGCACTGTTCCTCGCCTTCCCTATAACCTCTGTCAGAACCACACCAGGTACTGCCCTTCTCTCTCCCCTCTACCACTGAGTGTTTGGTTCAATGGGAGGAGTTTGGGGTTTGGCTGAGACAGACAGGGAGCCCACCGGGTTCTGCCTTTGTGTGGCCCTGGGCAGGTGATTTCCCCTGGCTGAGCCCATTCCCCCTAGTAAGATGGGTCAATACCCCGCCTTGCAGGGCCGTTGCAAGCTGGCTTGAGGCTAGGTGTGCCACAGGCCCCAGCAGTAAGCCCACTTCCTGTCTTTCCATGACCCGTGACCTCCCTGGGACCCCAGGACCCACAGCGCCTGGTCCTGTTCCGGGTAGCGGTGGACAAGCACCAGGCTCTTCTGAAGGCAGCCATGAGCGGGCAGGGGGTCGACCGCCACCTCTTCGCACTCTACGTAGTGTCCCGATTCCTCCACCTGCAGACGCCCTTCCTGGACCAGGTTAGGGCGCAGGGAAAAGGTCAGAGAGGGAAGGGGGCAAGATGGAAGAAGGGAAGTGTTAAGGCCAAGCAGGAGAGAGATGCTGGAAAAGGAGGCATCCCCAGAGGGGGAAAGAGGGCCCAGAAAAGAGGAGGGCGGGGTCACAGGGGCTAGGGGCGTGGCCAGGAAGGAGGCAAACTGAAGGGCGTGGTCAGACGGTGTGGGCGTGGTCAAGGAGAAGAGATCGTGAGGGGTGTGGCCAGAGGGAGAGGGCGTGGTCCAGGAGGAGGAGTGGAGCTGACGGGGGAAAATTGACACAGGTCGGAGAGGGCCTGAGTCTCGTGGCCTTGAGCCAGAGGAGCGCAGACGGCAGGTCTGGCTTTCCTGCACAAGGCCATCTCCTGTCCTCAGGTGCACGCGGAGCAGTGGCAGCTGTCCACCAGCCAGATTCCAGTTCAACAAATGCACCTGTTTGATGTCCACAATTACCCAGACTATGTTTCCTCCGGTGGCGGTTTCGGGCCCGTGAGTGGAGCAGGGGACCTGGCCCTTGGGTCCCAGGGAAGAGGGGCATGAGGGCCCGCACTCTGCAATGGCCGGGCGGACAGGGCGACGACTCTGTTTCATTCCTTTCCCTGTCCCCACTCCAGGCGGACGACCATGGTTATGGTGTCTCTTATATTTTCATGGGGGATGACACCATCACCTTCCACATCTCCAGCAAAAAATCAAGCACAAAAACGGTGAGACAAACTTGAACACCCCCCAACTCCCCACCCCCCACCCCCCCCCTACTGCTTCCTTCAGACCCAGGAGTCGAAGCCTGGAGCCCCTCCTCCCTCTGGTCCCAGCCCTGGATGCCCCAGACCCAGGAGTCCAGCCCCAGCCCCCCTGTTTCTCAGCCCCCTGACACATCCCTCCCTCCAGGACTCCCACCGGCTGGGGCAGCACATCGAGGACGCACTGCTAGACGTGGCCTCCCTGTTCCAGGCGGGGCTGCATCTCAAGTGCCGGCCCCGAGGGTTAGGCGAGGAGGACTCGGGCCACGGGTGTGGCTTTCTCTCCAGCCCGACTGGAGGCATCAAGACGTCCAGGACGCCCACCAACTTCTGACCCTCCCAGCAGGGAGCTGGCCTCCCTGGTAACACGGGTGGAGATGTCACAGCCAGCCTGGCACAGGACGGGGGCTGCCTGTGGGGCAACCCCACATCTGGGCCAATAAAGATGTGTGAGCCAGGTGTGGTGTCCAGTGTGCTACTGGGCAGGGGTGGCAGAGGCGAGAGTCGGGGCGGACGACGAGGAAAGTTTCTATTCAACCCCAGGCCCAACCACGGAGTCACGGTTACAGTCACACCCCAACACCCCGAGTTTACTGTTCACACCAAACCCAGCCTCCAAGGCCAATCCCAAAGGATCCCACAAACTCTAAGGAACTGACTTCCTGCTGCCCCAACCTGGCATCTACTCACCTCAACCCCAACCCCCAACGGAAAGATCAAGCACCATCCACCGACCCCAGCTGACACCCTGCGAATAAATCCACCAGGACTCTCACCACCTAACCTCACGGCAACCCCAACCATTTCAGCCCCTCCCTCAATGACAAACCGCCTCCCAAGACTAGAAAATGGTACCCAATGCCTGCCAGCCCGATCACTGCCACGATTCCAACAGACGACTCCACAAACTTACATCCCATTACACCCAACAACTCCACGACAGTGAAAACCACACGACTGGAGGCCAGTAGGTGGCTTGGTGGTTAAGTTACTGGATTCCCACATGGCTGCCTGATGTTTGAGTCCCGGGCCCGGCAGCTTGGGAATCACACCAGCTGCCTGTGTGTGTGTGTGTGCCCACAGTCCCAGGAGGAGAATGATAGAGGTGGGCCATCACTGTGGGCAGTGATTCCTCACTGTCCCTCTCTCTATCTCCGGTGAGTGCATGTACCTCATAGCAAACTGCACCCCCCCAAAAAAAAGGCACAACCAACACAAAAAAATCCAACCCGAAACTCCACCATCTGCACCAAATCTCCCTTCTCATCTCCACCAAAACCAAAACTTTAAAAAAAAGAATTATTTTAATTTTATTTGTTATTATTTTTAAAGTTTGCTCTTGGGCATGCATACTCACCAGAGAGAGAAAGTAAGAAAGCAAGCCACCAGGTCCAGGACTTGAACTGCAGTCGGCCATGTGGGAATCCAGCACCTTAACCACCACGCCACCTGCCGGCCCCCATAACCCAAACTTAACTTGACAAATGGTTATAGCTTTACACTCCACTCCCTTACCACGCCTGTGTTCCCGGCACTCCCGCTGTTAGGATCCCCGCCAGCCCGCCTAGTCACAGCGAGGCCAGAAACCCATTCACCTGTCACTGCCACGACTCCAGTACTCCGTGACTCCAACCCCATTGCTTTCACCAACCCAACAGCATGAAAATCCTTAACAGCTCAGTCTCCACCAGCCCGACCTCCGTGACCAACCCACCAACTCTAGTGCTTCCAAAAAATGTCCACAAATACGTTGACGAGACTAACTGCCCTCCCCTTGAGTGTGGGATGCACTTAATATGGTAGAAGTGGTAGCTAGTGATAAGACGTGGCTCAGTCCAGCAGGTGGTGTGGTGGTGAAGGCACTGAACCCCACATGGACAACATTATGGTTCGAGCCCTGGACCTGGTGGCTTGGAAATCACACGAAGAGCACGTGTGTGCGTACACACGCTGTCAGGAGGAGATTGGAGGAGAAGAGACTGTGGTGTGGGCACCCCCCTGCGATATCTCCCTTTCCCTGTGTCTCTATCTCTCTTTGGTGAGTGCATGTTCCCTATTGCAAAAATCTGAAGAAAAAAGAAAGACGTTAAGGCTGTCCTTTATTCTTTCTGTTTTTGGAGAGTTTATTTATTTATTTTTTTGCTATAGGGCACATGCGCTTGCCAGAAAGACAGAGACAGAGAGACAGAAAGTGAGAAATCACCCCCCAGGGGGGATGGCCACACTGTAACCCCTTCTCCTCCATTCTCCTCTCGGGGCACACGCGCACATGCACCGCCTGAGGTTAA